TGACTGCAAATACCTTTGCATCAGTTCAGGCCACGTTTTGCTACCAAATGAGTTAAGAAAAAAACTTTTCAGAGCCTTTTAGACTCTAGAATTAGGACTAAGGGATTTTGTACGTGTATATCTGCTTTGCTTTTTTCTGATTTCCTCCCAAAATAGTTTTTCAAGAGTTTTGGTGATTCAATGGCTAACTTCAGTTTTCTGGTAATTTCATTTACATAAAAAAGGTATTATTACTTGTTTTGAGTAAGGTATTATTTTGTGTACAGACACACAAATATGTATATATTCAACATGTAGAAACCTCCAAATGCAACAGAAAAGTATATAAATGCTATTGTATATTTGCCCATTGAGAAGCATTACTTGGGCAATAAAGGACAACTAAGTTACTGAAAAAATACATACATAAAACAACAATTTAGTAAAATTAGCACCATACTATGGTGTGGTTTTTTGGTTTTTTTTTTTCCTTTTCTTTTTTCTGAGACAGGATCTCACTCTGTTACCCAGGCTGGAGTGCAGTGGCAGGATCTCAGCTCACTGCAACCTCCACCTCATGGGTTCATGTGATTCTCCCACCTCAGCCTCCTGAACAGCTGGGACTCCAGGTGTGCACCACCATGCCTGGCTAATTTTTGCTTTTGTTTTTTGAGATGGAGTCTGGTTCTGTCGCCTAGGCTGCAGTGCAGTGGTGCGATCTTGGCTCACTGCAACCTCCACCTTCCTAGTTTAAGCAATTATCTGCCTCAGCCTCCCGAGTAGCTGGGATTACAGGCACCCGCCACCACACCTGGCTAATTTTTTTGTATTTTTAGTAGAGACGGGGTTTCACCCTGTTGGCCAGGCTGATCTCAAACCCCTGACCTCAAGTGATACGCCCCCCTTGGCCTCCCAAAGTGCCAGGATTACAGGCATGAGCCACCACACCTGGTCGATGGTTTTAAGATTAGCAAAAGTATATGTACAGCTTTAAATATTTAAAATTATCACCTTCTCCAAGTTTTCCTTCATTTTTGTCACATAACCAGCTCTAATCTCTTAGGCAAATAATATAGTGCTTTAATATGGCTATTATGCTTCTTTTCTAGAAATAAACCTTTTGTGTTGTTACTATTAAAAAAAAAAAAAAGGCCAAGCATGATTCAGGATATATACTCCTGTTTCAATCTGTTAGGTATCTGCTTAAAGAGTTCTAACTTTCCATTTGGTTCTCACTGTAAATATGTTTGATTTCTTGTTCAGTTACACTTCCTATAATATTCTGTCTGACTTTATGACCAACTAGGAATCACTAGATTTTAATCACTAGATTCCTGTTTAAAAAACTCTTTTGAGGCGAGATGTGGTGGCTCACACCTGTAATTCCAGCACTTTGGGAGGCCGAGATGAGGGGATTCCTTGAGCCCAGGAGTTTGAGACCAGCCTGGGCAACATAGCAAAACCGCATCTCTACAAAAAAATACAAAATATTAGCTGGGTATGGTGGCATGTGCCTGTTGTCCCAGCTATTCAAGAGGCTGAGGTAGAAGGATCTCTTGAGTCCACTCCAGCGACTCTGTCTCAAAATCAATCAATCAATCAAACAACAAAAAAAAAACTGTTTTGAGTAAAGGTACCTTACTGCTGCTTATGATAAACCCTATGAATGACACAGTAAAAAGAGAGAAGTTCACTAAACGAAAAACATTTCCCATACTAGATCTAAATTAAAACTTAAAATAACAAAGTTGCTAGAGAAATATATAAAAACTCTTCTTCTTCCCTAGGCTTACAAAAGGCTAGAGCTGGCCGGGCGCGGTGGCTCACGCCTGTAATCTCAGCACTTTGGGAGGCTGAGGTGAGCGAATCACGAGGTCAGAAGACGGAGGCCATCCAGGCTAACACGGTGAAACCCCATCTCTACTGAGAAAAAAAAAAAAATAATTAGCCGGTTGTGGTGGCGGGCGCCTGTAGTCCCAGCTACTCGGGAGGCTGAGGCAGGAGAATGGCGTGAACCCTGGAGGCGGAGGTTGTAGTGAGCCGAGTTTGTGCCACTGCACTCCAGCCTGGGTGACAGAGTGAGAATCTGTCTCAAAAAAAAAAAAAAAAAAAAAAAAAAAATTAGCTGGGCGTGATGGCACGTGCCTGTAATCCCAGCTACTTGGGAGGCTGAGGCAGGAGAATCGCTTGAACCCCGGAGGCGGAGGTTGCAGTGGCCCGAGATGGCGCCACGGCACTCCAGCCTGGGGGACGCAGCGAGACTCCGTCTAAAAAAATAAAATAAAATAAAAATTAAAAATTTTTTTTAAAAAAAAGGCTACAGTTGCTTAAATTATAAAACTTTATACTAGGTAAATGTAGCAGAAAAACCATGCCCCTCCTCTATCATTACACACTGCAGATCCAGAAGCATTTACGAATCCTACAATTACCTGATATTATAATGAAAAACGAAGATTAGTAAGTAAAAGTGAGGCTGGGCGCAGTGGCTCACGATTGTAATCCCAGCACTTTGGGACGCCAAGGCGGGCGGATCACCCGAGGTCAGGAGTTCGAGACCAGCCTGGCCAACATGGTGAAACCCTGTCTCTTCTAAAAACACAAAAATTAGCCGGGCGTGGTGGCGCATGCCTGTAACCCCAGCTACTCCAGAGGCTAAGGCAGGAGAGTCACTTGCACCCAAGAGGCAGAGCTTGCAAGTGAGCTGAGATCTTGCTACTGCACTCCAGCCTGGGCTAGGGAGCCACACCCTGTCTCAATAAAAACAAACAAACAAACAAACGAACGAAAGAATTAAAACTGAATTTAATCTATTTCTTCCTACAAAAGATTTAGTGATTAAGCACTTAAGAGTTCTAGTTCAGGGGTCCACTAATTTTTTTCTGTAAAGGACCAGACAATACTTTAGGCTTTGGGAGCCATACGGTCTCTATCACAACTACTCAAAAACAACACATGAACAGCCATAACGAAGGAGCACTGTTGTGTTCAATAAAACTTTTATAAAACTGCCAGCACAGTAGATTTGAATCACAGGCTGTAGATTGCTGAGCACTATTTTAATTCAAAAATTTAACACTAGAACTAGACAAGGGATCTAATTAAGTAACACAGACAAGTCTTTACTAATTTTTTTGGCCCCAGTTAATTGATTTCTCAAATGAGATTTAATAATAGTTTCTCAATGTCTCCTGAAAAAGCAGAAGTGTTATTTATATGAGGACTGTGGTCTCATTAAAGGATTGTTCAAACTCTTCAATTATACTCTGGGATAATTAACGAACCACACAAGACTCAATGGAGCTTTTTAAAAAAATGCAGATGTCATTAAACTGCTTAATTCAGAATAAAATTATTTTAGAATTTAAAAAATCCAGAATTTAACCCTTATGTTATTCATAGTTAAGAAAGATTATTATAAACTGCCTCAACCTTTTTGAAATAAAGCAAGAAGAAAGGTAAGTGCATTGGTTAAAGACAAGTAAAAAAGTAATTTTTTTCTGTAGATAATATATTCATTAGTTTAATGTAGTTAATTTTAATTAATAATTTAAGAATTAAAAAGGTACTTTGGAGTCATGTATTTTCTGTGACTAAAGTCAGATACAATAATGATTAATAATAAAAAAGTGACCTAATCTAACATCCTTAAATAGTGGAGGGAACTTAAGCTAGAATTCAGGTCTCCTGACTTTCAGGTGAGGAGTCTTATTCTCCTATTCTCTAGTTATCTAGGTAAAACAACTGCATTCCAAGGCACAACAAATCCATACTACGGTATTCTCCAACTGTCACTATTCTTAAATCATAAATCCTGCCTGCTTACCAGTTTTTTTTAAAAAAAAAGCCAATGGTATTAAAATGTAACACAAATCTCGGCTTCGATACTTTATCTAAGATCACTTTCTCAAAGACATACTTTCTAAAATGTTTGGAAAATGAAACAAAATTCTTCTCTCCTTATCCAACTAATGTTCAATTCTAACCACACTTCTGCTTTCCCTAGAGCTTAACTAATTTCACTGAGAGTATTTTCTCTGGAAGTTCTTAACTGTACTTGTGGGCCCCTTTTATTCTTCCTTAAACTTTTAACGTCTTTCAGGCTGTAAATTCCTTAAGGGCGCCTAGCCCCCAAAAAAGTGCTGCATATTTGTTCAATAAATGAATGCACATAAAAACAATGGGTAACTATGACCTTTAATGTAGGAGCTCAAGCTATTTTACTATTATCTGAGTTGACAGTCAAGAAAATTATCCCAACTTGCCAGAGGTATCCATTACTGTGATAAACAGGCACTATAAAACGCTTTACAAAGTTTCTAAAGACTTTATAATCACTTGAAATAACGCCGCGTTGGCCGAGAGTAGGGTGAAAGAAAATGTTTCCTCACACTAAGCAAATGCTACCCCAGGAAAAGCTTTCTTTCCTGAAGAGAACTGAAACAGAAGGCAAATATCCACACTCTCCACTGCTCCCTTCTGGGAACTCTCCTTGAAGGTTCCTGCAGAAAACGAATGGGCTTCTAAGGAAGCTAGCCTGAAGGCCGGGCCGGGGCTCCAGCTCCAGGCTGACCACTGGCGCAGCGGACACCGCAGGGCGGGGTCCCGGGAGCGGCGAGCTGGCGGGGCGGGCTCCGACCTCCTGACCTTCCCCACACGCCCGGCGACCCCGTCTCCCGCTGGCGGGCAGAGTCCATGCCTACCTGTTGTGCACAGGTGAAGCCAGACTTTCCCGTAGCCCAGGAGGAAGGACGGACGGCGCCGTTCATCAGCCGACCCCGTGCCCCAGTCAGCCCCTCCTTGGCGGACTCCAGCCCTTAGGGTCAAGACACCTGGCCCCTCGACCGGTTCTCCCACCGGCGGCTTTCGCGATCACATCGCTGCCGCGACCACCCTCGGGATCCCCGAGAGCTCAACTCACATTGCGGCCCCGGTCCGTCCTCCCTCCCAGCCAACAGGCAGCCCAGACAGCTCCCTCGCGCCCGGAGGTGTCAACGCTCTCCGGATCCCCGACTGCCTGCCTTTGGGGGGTCCTCCTCAGCTCAGCGCCCGTCCCGGTCCCGCAACGCTACCGCCTGCTCTGCTAACTCTAGCAGAATCTGGAATTGCCGGCGGCGGCGACAGCGAGGCAGTGAAGTGGGCGGGGCGCGCGCGGGGCGTGGCCGGAAAGCTCGCAGCCGCGAGTACGGCGGGAGCTAGCGATTGGGAGCGCGCCCTGCGCCGCGCCGCTGGTCCAAGGCCCCACCAACTGGCCGCCGAGCCATCGAGCGCCCACTCTGGCAGGCGTGACTGCTTCACCGTCGAAAGAGCGATGGAGACTGCGGCCCAAGTTAGGATTAGGACAGCGGTTTTTCAGTCCGGAGATCCGGCCACAACTATTTTTGTCTGTTTTTATAGCAAGCCAGAGTCTTCGGGTGCAGCTCTGGGACATCTAAAGGGCCTGGAGAAATTCAGGCGGGGCCAGTGCCGTGGGTGTAGATGTTAGGCGTGGAAGAGATCCTAGAGAGCCTTGACTCTGAGGACTGAGGTAAAGTGACTTGCTCAAGGTCACATACTAAGTCAGTGGCAGAACTGAGACTAACAACCTCTTACCTAGAGTCATGTGCGTTTTCCCACTACACCCAGCGTTTTAAATGTCATTTTTCAAGTTTCATTTTGAATCAATCTCCAGCTTACGAAAAGGTTGCAAGTATAGTACAAAGAACTTTTTTTTTTCTTGAATTGAGATTAAATTGCTGACACCATACCACATTGTCCCTAAGCACCTTCTACATAATCACAATATAACCATCAAAATCAAAACATTTACGTAACTCAGCGTTTTACCAGTTTTGTCCCAATAATGTTGTTTATGGTAAAAGATTCCGTTCGGAATCAAGCATAGTATTTACTTATGTATCTCCTACTCTTCAAACTGGAACTCTCAGTCTTGTTTTGCCTTTCATATTCTTGACACTTTTAAAGATTCCTGGCCAGTTATTTTTGTAGAATGGCCTTCACTTTGGGTCTGTCTGATATTTACTCGTGATTACATTCAGCTAGGTATGACAGGACTTCAGAAGTCTTGCTGCTTTCTTCTCATGGCACCCTATCAGGTGGCACGATTTAACTTCTCTCATTACAGATATTTACTTTAATAAGGTGATGTCTGTTAGGCTTCTCCAGTGTGGTTACTTTTTTCCCCCCCTTTGTAAATTAATAAGTGTTTTGTGAGGGAGACTCTGAAACTCTTTCAAGATATTTGTAAATATCTTGTTTCTTATCTTCAATTAATGTATTTATATTAATTAGTATGGATCCAGAGGTTTCTATTTTGTTAAATGACTTATAATCTGTTTCTTTCTCTCTTTTCTCTCTTTTTTTTTTCTTGAGACAGGGCCTCCTTTGTTGCCCAGGCTGGAGTGCAGTGGCTATTCATAGGTCGATAATGCAATAATGGTGCACACTACAGTCTTGAACTTCTGGGCTCATGTGATCCTTCTGCCTCAGCCTCCCAAGTAAGTAGCTAGGACTACAGGCATGCACACCACCACACCCAGCCAATATTCTGTCTCTATCATTATTTATTTTGATGCTCAATTATCCCAAGTTTGGTGGGTAGGGGCCCCATTCATTGTAGCTTCTGTGATGTGTGTGTGTGTGTTCAATTTTTTTTTTTAAGACAAGAAGACAAGGTCTCACATTCATTCTAGCTTCTGTGTTGTGTGTGTGTGTTTATGTGATTATTTATTTATTTATTTATTTATTTATTTTGAGACAAGAAGACAAGGTCTCACTCTGTCACCCAGGCTGGAGTGCAGTAGTCTGATCATGGCTCACTGCAGGCTCAACCTCCTAGGCTCCCAGGTGATTCTCCCACCTCAGCCACTCAAGTAGCAGGGACAATGGACGTGCCACTGTTCCTGGCTAATTTTGTTTGTTTTTGTAGAGAGAGAGTTTCACCATTTTGCCCAGGCTGGTCTTGAACTCCTGGGCCCAAGTGATCCACCCACCGTGGCCTCCCAAAGTGCTGGGATTGCAGGTGTGACCCACTGTACCTGGACTTAAATTTTTTTTTCTTTTGAGACGGAGTCTTGCTCTCTCACCCAGGCTGGAGTGCAATGGCGTGATCTCAGCTCACTGCAACCTCCGCCTCCCGGGTTCAAGCAATTCTCTTGGCCTCAGCTCCTGAGTAGCTGGGATAACAGGTGTGTGCCACCATGCCTGGCTAATTTTTGTATTTTTAGTAGAGATGGGGTTTCACCATGTTCGTCAAGCTGGTCTCAAACTCCTGATCTCATGATCTGCCCACCTCGGCCACCCAAAATGCTGAGATTACAGGCATGAACTACTGCGCCCAGCCCCGGCCTTAGATGCTATAAACATTTTGTTGTAAAATATTTTTAAAATGCAGAATAATTAAAAGAGCTTTAAATACCATATACACACAGTCCAGATTCAAAATTAACAGGCTACCATTCTGTGCCCTTTTGACACATCCCCATCATTCTTTCGGCACTCCCCTAGTCACTAGGGCAATTAGATGTTTCAGACTCATCCTGCTCCAGCCTTGGATGTAATTATTTATTCAGGAGTCCTGATTCCTTATAGTGGCGAATGGTATTTAGCACTAGGTATGCTCACTGCTATTGAGTGTCCATAGACCAGACTGTCTCAGTGGATGCAGTTAGGGAATATTTATACATTCATATACACACACAGCACATCTTTATTTGTATCCTTACACACATGTTTACAGCTATATTTCTTTAACAATATATATTGAAAAATCATGTGTTCACAGTAAAACCTCCAATCCAGCATCATACAGTTCATTCTAGTTTCTGCCCTTCTACATTTATAACTACTTTCTCCCACAGAGATAAGCCTGGCTCCCATCATCCTTGAGATATTTACTTATTTGAACAACCCTGCTATGTGTGAGCAATCATCCATAGCTGCCATCTATTCCTTTGGAGGATACTGCCCTTACCCCACTAAGGTTCTGAAAGCCCCAAATTAGCCATCTCAAGCCCCTGTCTCATCTTTCTTTCCTTACCATCACTCCCACACCCTGTGATCATGCCTAGCCCATAAACCCTGCCCACCCTGCTCACACCCAAACATCCCTTGCCAAGCATCCCCCTTACCTCACTTTATATAGATTAGACAGAGAGACGCACACTATATATAATCATATATATTAGTTACATATTCTTATACATACATACAATATATAGATTAGTTACATATCTCATGTATTCATTATATATTAATTTTTATAAAACCCTATATACACACACTATATATGTTATATATCATATATATTTGTTGTATATATTACTTACAGTACTAAAACATGTATCATATATAGTGTGTGTATATCATGTATATATATAATGTGTATATATACAGTGTGTATATGTATATGTAAAGAATAATATGCAAGATATATATTGTGTCATGTATACAGGGTATTGTAAAGTACCCTAAAAAAGGAACAAAACTATTATAGGATCCTGAAGGAGAGAGCAATTACTGTGAAGTGCAGTTGGGAGGCTCATGAAGGGTTTAAAGAGATGACATTTAAAATGGGCTTTGAAGTATATATAAGGATGGATGAGTAGAATATATGTTATTAGATATTGAAAAAACTCTGGAAGATAGTTTTAGCAGGCTCAAAGCAGAGAAAGAAATTCATTTTGCCTAAGTACATGGTACAAGAATAACAACATTAGAATTTCAGAATTGGAAGGGATATTATGTATCGTTGAGTCCAACCAATAGTTTCACAAAAGATTCAAAGATGGCTCCAGACTTTAAGCTAAGTGACTAAGAGAATGAAATTAGAAGGTGGAATTTGGAGGGGAAAATGATTAGTTTGATTTTAAACATGTCACATTTGAGGTGACAATAAGGCATCCAAGGGGAAATGAGGGACTATAGTTTAGAAGAGGGGTCAGAGCTAGAGAAGAGGAGTCAGAGATAGAGATGTAGAATCCGAGTTTTTCCACCTGGCGCTAACAACTGACAGCACTCTTAAACAAACACCAATGTTATTATCTTAACCAAATGGAAATGTGTCCCACTGTTCAGCTACCATTATACTTTGATTATACTTTAATTTTAAATTGAAATTTTCAGTCACAATAAAGAAGAAGCTGTATTATAGGTAGCAGAAAGAACATAGCTTTGGAATTGGTGACTTGCATTCAAATTCTAATTACACCACTTAGTAGGCATTACCTAGGGAAAATCACTTCATATCTCAGAAGCTCAATTTCCTCACTTGTAAAATGAGAATACTACCTCCTTCCTTGAGGTGTTCTCAGGATTTGAGATATAATATATAACTAGCATGTTATATATTACATACAGAAGGTGCTCATCAGATATTTGATGAAGGAATGGAGAATTTGATATACTTCCTACTTATTTTATACTTACCACTATAAAGCATTATACTGCATTTTCTAGGCTTTGTATAACAAAACAATTTTCCCACAAATAAATGAAACATTTTTAGAAGTATAACAGTTGGTATTTAATGGTATATGTAAAAATAATGAAGTAAGCCAGTGGTTACCCATTTAACTTGCTGTGTGATATCCTGCTATAATTTATTGTTCAAATATAACCAATTCAATGATTTTAAGTTCCAACTAGCATATGTTTGGGAAACTGAAAATGACAGATTACCTTTAAGATTACTTCTATTTCTGAAATCGTGAAATTCAATGATGGTAGAACAATATTACCCAACAATGGAATTCTAGTGTACCCATGGAACTCTAGCGTCCTCCTCTTGATTGTACCCCTCAAGAGGTTAATAGGAGTTAAGGAGAATGCCTTAAAAAGGCATTCTTGGCCGGGCGCAGTGGCTCATGCCTGTAATCCCAGCACTTTGGGAGGCTGAGGTGGGCGGATCACGAGGTCAGGAAATCGAGATCATCCTGTCTAACACGGAGAAACCCCGTCTATACTAAAAATACAAAAAAAAATTAGCTGGGCGTGGTGGCGGGAGGCTAAGGCAGGAGAATGGTGTGAACCCAGGAGGCAGAGCTTGCAGTGAGCAGAGATCATGCCACTGCACTCCAGCCTGGGCAACACAGCGATACTCTGTCTCAAAAAAAAAAGCATTCTTAAATAAGTCTGAAAAGCACTACATATTAATATATTACAGCCATTTCTTAGAGAGTCATTATGTATATTAGTGGGCTGCATTTGATGCAATGTTTCACAAACTTATTTGGAATATAATATATTTTTTAAAGGAATGCATATTAATAACTTTTAGAATGAATGTTCCTGGGATCAGACTTTGGAAAATGTAGCTTTGGAAGTTTGTTATTAGTCATCACTCCAGTCATGCCAGGTTACTCAATGTTGATGGAACCACTGAGGACACTAGGCTTCACATGTGGCAAGCTCATGTCACAAAATTCATGGGTAGGCACAGCTTCCACTCTGTTGATTTCAATGTGATCTGAAGCCTGAGATGACACTGATACCCTACTCTAACAAAAGATCTGCTGGCCCTTTGTGATACAGCTTTCCACTTTGTAGTCTATCAAGCATTATTTGTCAATATACTGCTGAGCTTGCTATAATCTGTGACAGCTTTTAGCACTAAATTTCTAATGAGAACTTTTGGCAATGGATAGGATTTCCCCCAGTAGCAAACTACCACTATAAATATTAGTTCAAGAAGTGCTTAAAAACAGAGTAGCAGATCGTGACCTATGATGGCAAGTAAGAGCAGGTCATTTAACCTGGAAAGAAGCTGTTAAACTCAGGGCTGGTGCTTCTAAGCAGGAATACTGAACAAAGGTAGATCTGCAACTATGTATTTGATAACCCTTGACACTAGAAATGACTGCAACTGTGTTCATACCTTACAAGGACTCTTAAGGCCCCTCCCAAATCCTCATTCTCTGATCAGATGAAGAAATACAGTGCTTTACGTGTGCATAAGCTTTATGGTTTTGTTCCAAACTTGCTGTAATATTTTATAAGAAAGCCACTTAACCTCTTTGGACTGTGTTTTTCTCCTATGGAAAATGAACATGTTGTATTACGGGGTCTCTTAGGGGTTATCCTCTGATTTTATCTTTTTGTTGTTGCTGTTTATTTATCCTCTGATTTTATGAAAATCATTCTTCTAGTTTTCATAAAAAAGGGGAAGAGACTTCAGGAAGTCAGTGTTAAGATGCTGTAAACTGGGGTAGGAGAGAAGACCCTGGAGATCTCCTCTGGCTATTGCTTTAATATAGTTTTCACCTTGAAAGACAGGAGGGATGTGACCCTGAAAGAGTGAGCAGCAGGACAGGAAGGTTCCAGTGGAGAGGGGGAAGATTAGGCAGCAACACACCTGCAGTGGCCAGGGACAGCAGGTTCTGGATAATGGAATCCGTAGCAGACTTTTAAGAAGTGGGAAGGAGGTGTTTGTGGGGAATCAATAAAAGTAGGGCTAAAAGGAATTAAAAGAAAGTCCTTGGTCTGCTCATCCATGTTTCCCTGCCAGAAAGTCCCTGATGAGAACCACAGGAAACACTATCATAAGCCAAATTAATCACAAAGTTAATCTCTCAAGGTGAAGAAGCAAAAGTTAATGACCTTCCAGCTGAGTTCTAAAAATGAGCCAAAACTCAGAGAATGGGATAGGTCAAGCCAGAGCTAGGACTGAGGAGGAGGGCCATGTTAATTAACTATTATACAAACCCTCAACTTCTGCCACAAGCTCTTTAGGAAAGTCAACTGTTTTACATGCTGACAGGTAACTGAAGAAAGTAAGTTAGTGCTTTTATTCAGGGTGCTTCATTCTTTAGGAGTAGCATATAAGGCCCCCCACAGAACTCCTATTCACCAGTTGTATATATATTTGATATGAAAACTAATGATGGATGATCATCCACTTCAAAGTTAAATGTTAGAATAGTAATCACACAAGACAACATTAAGACCCAAATAATTTGTAATAAGATTCATAATTTAAGATTATTTGTCAGCCGGGCATGGTGGCTCACGCCTGCAATACCAGCACTTTGGGAGGCCGAGGTGGGTGGATCACAAACTTAGGAGTTCAAGACCAGCCTGGCCAACATGGTGAAACCCTGTGTCTACTAAAAATACAAAAGTTAGCCAGGCGTGGTGGCACACACCTATAGTCCCGGCTACTTGGGAGGCTGAGGCAGGAGAATTGCTTGAACCTGTGAGGCAGAGGTTGCAGTGAGCCGAGATCACACCACTGCACTCCAGCCTGGGTGACAGAGCAAGACTCTGTCTCAAAAAAAAAAAGATTATTTGTCTAATTCAAGAAATTGAACTTACCCAGCAAGCTGGTTCTACATAGTTGATAAATAGTATTGTTGTGGAATTATTTTATATATAAGGAAAAACTATATACCTATTATAAAAATACCTATAGAAATTATCATCAGTTACTATGTTTATGTATGTAGATCTATTATTATCTTCTTTGGGACATATGATTCTCGAAGCAAATTCTAATAAAAATTAGTTCATATATCAAACTTCTTGTTTAGCTACAAACTTAAAGGAGAAAACCTTATCTAGATGCAAACATTTAACTGACCAGTATGAACAATAGCTAGAAATTAAATTATCCATGTAATTTGGTTAAGGTAATCAGTGGAACCAGAGTCATAGATCAGGAAGAAAAAGAAAAATGTTAATAATATGGAATAGAATTATATACTCTTGAATTCAATTTGCCAGCCTATAAGCATTCACAGACCAGAGCACAAATCCACTTATAAACCATACTTGCTTATCTTAATAATATTTTATTGACTTACGCATTTTCTCCTGTTGTTTGCTTCCTTTCCCTTATATTGTCTGAGGCCAAAGTCAAGAAAGACATTTTCTTAAATATATGATAAAATATTAAGTTTTTAAAAAGCAAAATATTAAATTCCTTTATGCTAACTGAACTATATTAAAATATGTGTATGGTTATGAACAACAATTATAATAAATAAAAATGAAATAATTACATTTGAATCATGAGATTAGGAGCTCTTTTAGCTTTTCAATATTTGTAGTTATTATACTGCCTTTTTTATAAAAAGAAAAAGGGCAAAGCATTTTTTTAAATTTTCTCTTTGTAATTTGCTGATGCAATTTTTCTTCCTTTGGAAAAGTACTTGATACAGAGTAAGTGCTCAATGTAAACTTGTTGAGTAAGTATACAAAATGGCAACTAAAATTGCTGGCAGATTTCCTTTAGGGAGAAGCCAAATGATGGCACTCGCCATGCTGAGGTAAGGATAAAATAAGTCAGGATTTACTCATCCACCTGGCCAGGGGCCTCCAATTGCCTATCTTTGCTTCCTTGAGCTGGAATTAGAGATTTATTAGGAGGGTATCCACATAATTTAGTGTCCATGGGGACAGTTCTTAGAGCAAGAAGAGACCTATTAAACATGCTGCTGGGTTCTTAGATATAACACCTAAAACAAGCAACTAAAGAAAAAAATTGATACATCAGACTTAATCAAAATTCAAAACCTTTGTAATTCAAAGGACATTATCAAAAAAATTAAAAGATAACTCACAAAACAGAATAAATTATCTTCAAATCATTTATTAGATGAGTCTAGTACCTAAAATATAGAGCAGAACTTTTTTTTTTCTTTGTTTTTTGTTTTTTTGAGACAGAGTATTGCTCTGTTGCCCAGGCTGGAGTGCAGTGGCAGGATCTTGGCCCACTACAACCTCTGCCTCTTGGGTTCAAGCGATTCTCCTGCCTCAGCCTCCCAAGTAGCTGGAATTTCAGGCGCCCGCCACCACACCCGGCTAATTTTTGTTTTTGTTTTTGTTTTGTTTTTGAGACGGAGTCCCGCTCTGTCGCCCAGGTTAGAGTGCAGTGGCACGATCTTGGCTCACTGCCAGCTCTA